GCCCAACACACCAGGGGCACCAGGAAAGTTTCTTGGTCCTCAATTGATTTGCCGTCTACGGCAGACAGCTTTATTAAAGGTCCCAACAAGGCTCTCTTTGCGGGGAGGAAACATCGATCTCCTCCTTTTCCACTTTAAAAAATATCTTCGATTTTCCTGAAGATCCTTTTTTCTTCTTCCCCTATCTGGGGGCGGAGGGTGGAGTGGTTGAAGGGGTTGGAGTAGGGAGGGATGATTGGGGAGTTGGCGGGTCCAAAGCAAGGAGTAGGTGTGTGCGGCGGAGTGGGGGTGGTAGAAGGAGTGGCACGAGACCAGGAAGGAGGAGACTCCTATCTGCTGGGGTGCCTGTTTTTTTTCACTGGTGAGGAGGGGACTGAAGTTTTTTCCTCTGTTTTTTCCCCTCCCCTCTCTTCCACTAATACATTCAATTCGTGAATTATTTTCACTTGTTTGTCTCCCTCCTCCTCGTCTTCTTCCCGGCTTTCAAGGAGGCGGCACGTTTGAAATTCCTCCTCCATAGCATCCTCTTGTTTCTCTGGCGATTTTGCGGAGCCGGTTTGCTGCTTTTTTTTTTCTGTCGCTGTTGTTGCTTCTGCTGTTGTTGTTGTTGCTGTTGTTGTTGTAGTTGCTGCTGCTGTTGTTGCTGCTGCTGTTGTTGCTGCTGTTGTTTGCTGCTGCTGATTTTTTTTGTTTTGTCTGCCCTTTAGAAGGCTGAACTTTTGGGCTTTTTTCCGTCTGCTTTTTGGGGACGTTGAAACATTCGTTTTTTGTTTCTCTTCTCTACCTCCTTCCAGCCTCCTTCGGGAGGATGGCTTTTCAGTCTAACTGCTGATGCTGCTGGTGCTGGAGGAGGAGTGGGATTCCCCTTTTTGCCAGGGCAATCTTTTGGACATGTGTCCCAATGCACCGCATGTCCAACAGTTTTTCCTCCCTCAACCACGACCAGCATCCTCCTCTTTCTACATATCAGGGTGTTTGAATATCCTGAATTCTGTCGGTTCAGAGTTATCTGAACCTCAATATCACCTGTTTGTATCCCACTTTGCTGAAGGGCCTTTACCTCATTTACTTCTGCCATATTTGGCGAAAAGGCCCCATTCTGTCCTTCCACTGTCTGCCGGGACGCCATGAATTGTCACCTGGTCCTCCTCGTCCCCATATACTCTGTCTGCAAGCGCAGGTTTTTGTTGTTAGCAGACTTCGGCCAACGCTTTAGCCTGCTCTTCTGTCGCCAAGAGCAAGTCCCAGAGCGCATTAGTTCTTCGCGCCAGGATTTTTTGGCACGATCTTTAGCGCTTTTAGGGCCTCCTCCATTCCTTCTTCCTCTGCCGACACCAATCAACTTTCGGGTCTTAACGTCCGACCTCAGGAGCGAAAATGTGTCGACCGCATCCAATGCTTCTTGGATTGTCAGAAATTGTTTTCTTTGAACGTTTGTTCAAACTTAGCCCTTTGCTCCCCGTAAAAGGCTGCATCATTTTTTGCTGCGGCCTGTTTTGACCCCAGGCCGTCTTGGCAGGTGATACCGGTTGGGAAGGCGTATCCCTTCCTCGTTAGTTATTGTCGGCCATGATGGGTTTTAGCGACCCACCAGGCCGAACACTTTTTTTTGTTCCTACTTTTTTTTTGTTTCTACATAGGTTTAGAAATAAACAGGAAAAAATAAAAACAGCTCAAAAATAGAATAAAAATAAAAGAAAATGCACAAACCAAACAAGAAAAGATAAAACAAAACAAGAAAAGATAAAAAAAAGGGCTGAAAAAAGGAAAAAATAAAAAGAAAAAAGAATTAAAAAGAATAAAAACAAAGGCAAAAACAGAAAATCAAACAAAAGGTTACAAAAAGATTCACTAAAAAGCTTAACTTAACGATGTGCTGTACTTCCTGAAATAGACTCGTCTATATAACCAATTAAGCAGATTCGATATATACCCAAAATAAGGGGGGCTGTTACGGTTTTTTGGGTATATACTACCCGTAACTAGTGAGCGAGTCAGAATGACTTATTTCCCTTTATAGTCGACCAATGGTAGGTTGACCAATTAGAAGCCGCACAACACTGTATTCATCGTGTATAAAGGCGGCCATCTTGTTTCGTCTACCAGAAGGACCAAAGGAGACCAGGAGAAGGATGAACTATACTCTGCTGTGATATCCACTGCGAACCTTCACTACGCGTTCCCACTGTCTCCGAAATATTCACTGCGAACCTCTAGATTCAATACTCAAGGACGACCGTCATGGAAATGTCTAACATCAAGTTTCTTGTAACAATTATTTGACGTTGCTTGGTAACTTTCTCTTTCAAATTTACTAACATTTGGCGGGCAGCATGAATTCTTTTGGCGGGCCGCATGTGGCCCGCTGGCCCTAGTTTGCCCACTCCTGTTCTATCCTAATAGATATTTTCCTCGCACTATTCGCCTATACAACTTCCATCAGATTTATTGCTTCCGTGCCACCTACAATCTCCAAAAAAAATTAAGTCTAAAACCAAGCGTAATCTTCTGTTTTCCTGAACTCTGCGCTTCTATTGTCCTTTCTCCTCACTTCTCCACACTTAAGTATTCTCAATCTCTTTCACTCCCAATAATCAATAAGTGGCATTATCTCCTTGTTTGCTCAGTGAAATTATTTTAAAAATAATAAAATAATTAAATTTTGTGATGTCAACGAAGTCTCGTTGACACTTTTGTAACGCCAACGAATACCCGTTGTCACTTTCGTAATGCTCGTTGTAGTAGAGACTTTGTAATCTCAGATACAACTATAGTAACGCCGTTGAACAATACTGGTGTCAAGACACCTTAGAATAACACTTGCACTAATAGTACTTGCTTGTTAATACTCGCTCGCAAAATAAGCACCGAATAGTGATCCGAATTTTAATCCGTTTAGTAATCAGTATAGAGAATAGGACAGGAGACACGGTGGATTAATGGATAGTGGCTCGGATTGAGGATTCGGAGAGCCGAGTTCGTATTCCAGTAGAATCCATTGCATTCACTTACGCACTAATACACTTGGGAAAGGTATGAATCCTCTTCTTCTCCCCTCAGCTATAGGTAAATAGCAGAGCAGACCTGGTTCTATTGCTTTGGATGGCAACTGGTCTATCGCAAAATGAAATGGCAACATACTGCGGGAAAAATCTGCCTCGTCAGTCATGTATCGAAAGTTACATGACCGCCTAAGTGTGTATCACGCACATAGCTGACTAACTGATAGAGGATAGCGACCCGTATAGTAATAGAGTAGAAAGAGTGATCACTTAGACGCCACGCTAATTCCCATATATACATTTCCTTTGCTATCACGTGATCTACTTATTCAAAATGGGATCGCCTGTTTGCTCTCTGGCAATCTATGTTCAAACTCCAGTGTGGATAGCGACACTTTATTCCTATATAACAATAAATAAACAGGGTTAATGTAATTCGGAGAACAAAAATTGTAATATATCTAGCGTCCAAACTTAGAGAATAATATTTTAATGATAGTTGTAAATTAAAAAAAAAAAATTGTTTATTATTGAAGCAGACTATTAATTAGAGAAGTTACATCTGCACACCTATAATTAAAAGATTTTACTTTTTCACATTGTTTAAATTTGGTTTTGTCTCACATTTCGTGTAATTTCTACTAAGAATCTTTTACGACCGTTATTTTCCCTGCTCTGAAATTATCGTAACGTATTTTTTTTTTAAGCGTTTCATCCCAAGCAAGGCAGGAAGCCACTAGGACGCAAGGGGTTACAGAAAATTTTTGAGCAAGATCAGATAGGAGTAATAGAAGAAATGATTAGGAGAAGGGTAGTGGATAGATCAAGGCAACTGGAGATGTCGATTGACATTACACATGAATAGCTGGAAATTATATTCAGGGAAACTGGAATAGGGAAGGAGTTCCACAAGCGAGAGGTGCGAGGCATGAAGCTGTTGGAGTAGAAAGACGGCTACATTTAGGGAGTTCCGACAGTGAAGGGAGAGAGCGGGATGCCAGCCTCGTAGGGCGCTTGAACTCATGAAGTCTGGAAACCAGCGAATGCAGTTCCTCGGAGCAATTGCCATGAAAGTATTTGTAAAACAGGCAGAGAGAGGCGACGGCGTGTCTGTGAGAAAGAAACTGTTGATGAGATGCCAGAGCAGGGCCAATTATATTGCATATCCGCCTCTGAAGCCTATCTAGAACCCCGAGGCAACAGAAGGGGCACCAGACCATATATGGCAGCAATACTCCATGCAAGTGCGAATTGTTGCTTTGTAGATGTATCTTCTAAAAGTTCTCAGTTCGGTGAAGATCTGCGCTTTGACTGGTCTACGAAATAACATTCACATTTTCAATTTCGAAATATTTTTTTGCTATTATTTTTTTCTTCAGTACAACAATGTGCATTATGTTGCATATTTACAGGAAACTGTTTCAGACCCATTATCCCATAATGTTCAAGAATATCTTTATACAATGCATCTTTTATTGTGCCATACAAACGAATGGATGGGTTAACAGGATCGGCAGAGAACATTCCCACACACCAGTAATCTACCATCACTGAATTTCACTAATTTTCCCATACATTTATAAATCAATTATCCTCACTGTTTATCCTTTTAATATACTGATTGTCGTCAGCCCCAAGTAGATTGAAATTATTCTTAACAATCTTGCGTATTTTTCATATGCTAATTTTACTTAATTCACAATGCCCGCTGCTGTGTAAAAGCCACTCTAGAATGTCGTTGTACGTGTTCACTCTAGGGCAGACATTCCCAAACGATGCAGCGCGCCTCAAAGGTGCAGCGGAAGAGGATAGCAGGTGAGGCGAAATGATTGAATAAAAAAAAGACAAAGATTCCTTATTTAAATGTTTGTGGTATAACGTCGCGTCATTCCTTAACCATGGGTTTTTATTGGTGGTTAAATGCTATGCATTTTTACAGTAAAGCTCAAATGATCAATATTGGCAGTAAAAGATAAAAATGTGACATAATAAAATATTCTAAGATACAAGGAAAATAAAAACATCATTGAAAGGATATGAAGATGGGGTCATAAAACTATACATTAGAAAAAGATTCTTTATGGGAAAATGACAAGAAAGAAAGAAAGAAAGAAAGAAAGAAAGAAAGAAAGAAAGAAAGATGTTAAAAATAGCATGAATTGGCTCAGAATAGGATGAACAATAGGATGAAAAATAATATAAGAAAAGAATGTAAAAAAATAAAACTGGATGTAAAAGTAAAATTAATAAGAAAGAAAGAAAGAAAGAAAGAAAGAAAGAATAAGAAGAGAAGGAGGAGGACAAGAAAAAAAAAAAAAATAATAAAAAGAAATATGTAAGAAAGAAAGAAGAAAAAAAATAAAAGAAAAGAAAAAAAAAAAAGAAAGAAAGAAAAAAAGAAAGAATAAGAAGATATGAAGGGGAGAGAAAAAAACGAAAAATAATATAAAAAAGAAATATGTAAGAAAGAAAGATAGAAAGAAAGAAAGAAAGAAAGAGAGAGAGAAAAAAGGAAAGAAAGAAAGAAAAAGAAACAAGAATAAGAAGATATGAAGGGGAGAGAAAGAAAACGAAAAAATAATATAAAAAGAAATATGTAAGAAAGAAAGAAAGAAAGAAAGAAAGAAAGAAAGAAAGAAAGAAAGAAAAAATAGGAAGGTGGTGGAAAGAGAATAAAAAAACTAATATTAAAAGAAAGAAAGAAAGAAAGAAGGAAAGAAAGAAGGAAAGAAAGAAAGAAAGAAAATGACACAAAGAAACAATACAAAAATATGGAGATGGAGAGAGAACGAAAAAGCTAAAAAGAAAAAAAGAAAGAAAGAAAGAAGAAGGTTTGAAAAACAATACTAAGATATGATGATAAAACCGAAAAAACTAATATAAAAAGAAGTATGTAAAAAAAAGAATCAAACAAACAAAGTAAAAGAAAGAAAGAAAGAAAAAAGGAAATAATCCGAAGAAAGAAAGAAAGAAAGGAAAAATGAAAGAAAGAATACGACGATATGGGATGGAAAGAGAATGAAAAAGAACTAATATAAAATGAAATATGTATGAACGAAAGAAAGAAAAAAATAAAAAGTAAAGGAATAAGAATATGTAAAGAAAGATGGCGAACATCGGAATTAGAGGAAATGTTAATGAACAATAATAAAAAAGCTAAAGCATAAAAAATGGCAGAAAGAAAATAATGGAAAGACGTATCGGATGGAATGAAAATGAAACAATAAAGCGAATTTCAAAGAAAGAAATTTGAAAGAAAACAAGAAATAAAGAAAGAAAGAAAGATAGATAGATAGATAGATAGATAGATAGATAGATAGATAGATAGATAGATAGAATGAAAAGAAAATGAACAAAAAAGAGTGAATATCCAAAGATGAAACAAATAACAAAAACAGAAAGAAGAAATTTGAGAAACAAGAGATCAATGGAAATAAATTTTTAGTGAATATTCAAAAACAAAAATATTCAGAGAGTAGCAAAATGATGAACTGAAAAATTGGCAAATAAGAAAGCCAAAACGAAAGAAAATAAAAACGAATATATCTCTGAATCGCATGGATTCTAATACGATTCTGTATTTTTTCCAGTTTCTATAGTCGTTACAGGTCACTCTTCTCTTCATTTGGGGGTACGGAAACAGAAGTAAGTTTTATTTTTCTACAGAATATGGTGTCAAATAAGAAAAAAAAAACAACATTTGTCTATCAAATTGTACTCCTCTCGTTTCTAAAGGAGATTGTAGAGATGAACAGCCAAAAAACTTGAGCTAATAGAAAAGTATAGGAATTGTTTCATATGCCTTTCTGTTAGCTCAAATTTTTAGGCTGGTTCGAAATTTTGGCTGGTTTTAGCTTGTGGAGTTTACCAGCTCGAATCACTCTTGGAATTATATGTTCTCATTCATAGATACAGTTTTACTAATTATAGGAAAAAGTTACAACATATATTTACTAAATTCAGTTTCATTTTCACAGAAGAAATATTGGGCACCTAGCGAAAGAAGAAAGAAAATTGAAACCATAAAAAAAAGACGCTTAAAAATCGGGGGGAAACAAACGTGAGAAAGAATGTCTACCATAGGGTCTGAAAAAAAATTACAAAGAAAGAAAAGATAGAGAGGAAAGTGAGATGTTCTAAACATATTCACTGAAGCGTATGGAGTGGTGGAGAACTGAACTGACTCACCTCCGACAATGCCATATCTTGTCTCGTCCCAGCGGAACAGAAAGTATCATATGATTGGACAAACGGAGTACGTCCATCCATCCATCAGACTTTTTCGCCGTTCGTTCCTCCTTCCGGTCTGATGGGTACTAGATCTGGGGAGATTTGACAAAGGAATTTGTGTAATTAATATTGGCAGTCGATAAAATGCAATATACCAAGCTGACGAAAAGGAGACGGCTTTTATGAATTTCATTTTTTATTTTACGATTTTTTTTTTATTTTCTGTCGCAAATCATAACGTTCGCCTGTCTATTGACTTAATGTACGCGGCTTCTCTGAGAGTATTTTATTTAAATTAATTAATTGAAAGTTTTAGAACTAATCTGACCTCTATATTGACTGCATTTTATAGAAGATAAGATAGAGAAAAAACAGTATTCGAAAAATGATGATACTTACTGTAAAAGTAACAACTCAAAATATATGTATAACTCAGAGTATTTTTCTAATGGGTCTTGTAACATCAAGACGCAGGAAATAATGGCTATCCACAACTTCTTTTCATTCGTAGCTCTAATCAAAAGTTGTTCTCTTACTATTCCCATTCTTCCATTCTTTTATAAAAGTTTCAGTTCGTTATCTATACGGATGACAAAGCTATTCATTCTTGTTTTAATAGTAAGCCAGATTGATTTCATAAGCTCAAATTGGTAGTTTACATCAAAAATGATACACAATCTGTTGTTAAATGGGGCAAGACGTGGCTCGTTAATTTTAATGTTCCAAAAATGGAACTGCTCTCTTTTAATCGTGCGAGAGAATCCTTTTTACCTTCCGTCAATATGGTGGATGCTAACTTCCGGTTTTCTTTTACGGCGTGGTAAAGATCCTAGTATTAGTAATAACTAATTTATTTGCAAGTTTAGTATAAAATATGTCCCATGTAATAAGATGTATATGTTTTTTTATCAATAAATGCTAGCTAGAGTTACCCTGTACCATTACACTGCGGCTGAGATTTATCTATGTACAACCAGAATGGCTCGGCGTTGCCCGTGCTTGATTAAAAAAACGTACAGCAATCGCTATCACTTGATTTAAAATATTTTTGCCCTTCCTTGCCTTTAAAGCAGTGCTCTTTGCCGTGCTGATATTGATACACGCCTTACTTCTTGCCTATCTCACACTGCGAATTTTTTCTAACCTCTATACTAAACATTAAATCTGTTACGAAAAAAGAACTAAACAAAATTAACACAAAACGATCAGCTTTAAAAAAGGATTCGTAACTGGAAAAATCGAATGAAAAAAGAATGTTAACAACAAATACTTTTTCACACCCAACCCAGTTCTGCGGAATCAGAATCAATGTCAAGTTTAAGCAAGCGAATGAACCAGTTGGAATAATGTGCCATGCAGATTTAAATTTTTCTAAATTGTGACGAATGAAGCTATCGATTTTTTTTTTGCATGCTAGCATGCTAGTTAACATTCGTGTCAGCCAGATATTGGCTCTCACTCTGGTCAGTACAAAATGACCGCAAACTACATGAAAACTGCCGTAGAAGCATGAAAAAATCGATTATTTTCACTATCTATGGGAGTTGGGAAATGCAAAGTCGGTCTTGGCCTTTTTACTAACTTGGAGCATGTGCATGTAAATTTTGGTGTAAATCCGTCGAAAATTGCGGCCGTGCATTCGTTACTCACACACACACACACACACACACACACACACACACACACACACACACACACACACACACACACACACATACATCCTTCCTTTTATAGATAGAGATTTTAAAGCCTTCAGTTTTCTGGTTGTTTATTGATTTGGGTCAAAATAATCGCAGAACTGTTATTTTTGTGCGTATGTATCACCAATTCTTCATTTTCATGATCCCTGTTCCTTCAGATCGGTGAAAATCATGACTCTCCACAACTATCTATCTTTTGTAGCTCTTAATATATCATGTCTTTTGGCTGTCTCCCTTAATCCCTGTTGTGCCAATCAAGCTGGTTCAGTAGAAAAGAATTTTTTAACAACAATGTTCACCATGTACCCGACCCGGGCGACACTCTAGTCAAACGGTTAAAGAATAAAAGCCACAGTTTATGAGGATGTGTTGGGAAGATGAGAATTAATCCTAGATTTGAACAGGTTAAGATCGTAGTGATCGAGGAAACGCCCTTTTTGGAGCCGGTTCTACAAAGCAGCAGTTCGTGAGAAGAAGGGGATGAGGGTGATGCACTACAATGTAAGAGGTACAGTGGGTCATAGCCGTGAAAGTTAGACCTGGTGTAACTAAGGAATTTACTTCGTCTGAACACTTTACTAGGAAATAGCAATAGAGTAGAGAAAGGCTTGCAACGATGAGCAAGGGGTTGCAGCGTGGAAAATAATTTAACACCCGTGTAGACGTTTTGGGACGCTATAGATACTGGAAACTGAATACTAGACATCTCCTGTCCATATATTACTTTCCACCATCTCTGAACATTGCAGCTGGGAACCGCCATGCATTGTATACGCGGATGAATAATCCTCATTACATTCGTATTTCCTTATTAAGAGGTAAGTTCCACTTGGATAGATTCTGACCAAAGACGACCGCTTTGTGGAACAGATTCCAGGCCGGATGTTTTATCGATCGCTATAATCTTAACCTCTTCATGTCTAAGTTTCATCATTCTCTTGCCTAAAAAATCTCAAACTTCACTCTTTTCCTTTTCTTGCAACACCATCAAGTAATCCTCTGCCTGGAGTGGATTCTTGGGCCTTGTATTCGGTGAGCATTATTAAAAAGAAAATGGGAGCAATACTCCATTTTTGGTCTGATTTGTATCTTGTAAATGTAGAGAATAGCAAACGGGGTCAGATACTTACTAGAGCATATTTTTAAAATAAAGACTTGGACAGTAAATTATGATAAGTAACACAAATCTGTCTATATTTCTGAGATGAGGTATTATGTACACTATTTACATTATTCGGACTATTTTCCTCATCTTTGTCGCCATATTTATCACAACGTTTCGGCCATTGTACGCTCCGGCCTTCTTCAGTGGCTGGAATGTCAAACTGAACCCTTTATTTCGTTCACTGTGAGTGAAATAAAGGGTTCAGTTCGACATTCTAACCACCTGAAACGTTGTGATAGATATGGCGACAAAGATGAGGACAATAGTCCGAATAATGTAAATAGAGTAACGCAAATGTTAACCGATTAATGTCACTCGTCCACCCAGACAAATAACACAGCGTGTCTACCTACTCAATCAGCTGTTTTATTATTTGGATGCAGCCTTATTATCTTCTTTTCTCATACCTGGTTTCGTTTACCTCATATAGTATTTTGACACCCGCCATCTTAGACCGGAAGCAAATTACCTGACCAGCTCTGTGCAGTAAAAATATGTATTTTATATTGTATCTTCTTTCTGTATCTGTCTGTTCGGCTCCAATTCTTTGTAAATAAGCAAACGGACATGTTTGAACGTATTTGTGGCTGCTTATGTCTGTGTAGAAAAGGGGTAGCGATAAATTTTTAAGAGGAAATAGGTATTAAACGTAATGGTATGAAAAGGAAATAATCTGATTGTAAGCCAAAAGGGAATACGAAAAAAGTTTTTGATTAGAGAAATACAAGCGATATCATCTAAGTACAGAGGAAGTAATAAATTGCGGAAACAAGATATAAAGGGAAAGTATGATAGAGAGAAAGATTCATTAGAAAGGACACAGAAAGGAAATGGAAAGACGAAAAGAGGATATGGAAAAAGACAGAAAGAAAGAATAAGAGGAGAAAGGTAATATCACAAAAGAAAGAAAGAATAAAAAAGAGGGAAAAAAATAAAAAGAAAGTGAATCAAATAATAAGAAAGGAAGATAAAAAGGGGGAGAGAATGAAAGAATGAGAATGAAAGAAAATGAAAGAAAAAAT